CACTTGAACCCAGTTACTGTCAAGCGGTCCGGTTTACAATTCCCTGTTACAGAGGCCGTATGTACGACCTAATAAATAGAGACTGTTTGCCATCGAAACTGCCCACCGAGTATTTTTGCATTTAGAGGTTTTTAGCCCTTCTTCCTCTGTAGAGTAACAGTCGGTGTTTCAAGCAGTTATTCCTTGTATTGCTACACTAAATATATTTGACATATTGCTTGCACATATGGATCTGTGTGCATCAGTTCGCGTTTGTGTGTGCTTGGTTTGTGTGTGGACTCCTATTTTAGAAAATGGGGGAGCACTTAATTAATAAAATATTAACGGAAATAATTCAGGAAGCAATTTGCGTGTTAGCAAATTAGTCCATTTATTGTTACTTTTGTATTATGTTTTTAATGCTTCCACTTGATTACTCGACTGGTATTCTTAAAAACGTATGTTTATAGGGGAGGTTGTGTGGGTGAGGGGGTTGGGGAGTATGCATATAGAGAGTTTAGGCCGTTGTAGAAACTATGTATTCCTGCCATACCATGGAGGGGGACACGAATTTCACATATTGTAAGCATAGAGTCGCAAAATGACATGCTATGTGGCCTGTTCCTCTTGGGAATCCAAATGTAGATTAATATCAGATAAAGTCAACTCACCTTTGATACCCTCGATACAAATGCACTCACACCTTCCGGGTGTATTTGTACAAGTACCTCAATGTTGACACATGTTAATTTCTGTGCATTCGTCGATGTCCTGATCGCAGTTATCACCCTCCCAACCAGCAATTTCAGTAATTGAAATGAAGCATCACCCTGTTAATCGGGACACCGTAAGTTCCGAAAAACACTTTATGATAAGTGTAACATGAATGTCTAAATATGGAAATTGATTTTACTCCATCCCCATGAATCATTAATCCTGAATGAACTAATCCGATCGAACGGATAACGGGGTCTCAATGTACAGTAAACTACGATTATAACGAACTCAAAGGAACCAATATGTTTTGTTCATTATAACCAGAGTTCGTTATAAGCGTTTAAATCGGCACGATATGGCTGAAATACTGCCGATGTGACGTTAAATCTTAACTCACTCACTGTAAGCGTTTAAAATAAAGCATACCGCAAATGGCCGGGATAAACGCAGTTTACTGTACATTGGGACCACTTTAATGCGAAAGGGTCGTAAAGCAAGACAAACTCAATCGTGCTTTCTTTTGAAATTTAAAATGCAGTAACAAACTGAACATTGACATCAACCTTCTGAAAATACCTTCAAAGCCCTCTTTTGCTCCTGTGTGGGCGTGGCACGTGTAGTTACACCGGTCATTAGTGGCACTGCAATATTTCTCACACCCAGACCCGTACCAGTCCGGGTCGCAGTAGGCACGGACCTGAATCTGTAACCTGAAACAATAATTCAATCCAAACATTTCAGTTTGTCATGTTGTTCTCTCATCTTGCTGTTCAAATTCATATGAAACACTTTGAGTTAGGTGCCTCATCTTATAACCACTGACACAATTGCTTCAATATGTTTAGAAAAAGGGAAACGAATTGAATATGAAACAGTCGGGTTCTATACAATCAGCTCTGGGTTATGGTCGAAAGGTGTAATGCAATATTGTTCCACAACCTGGTTCCACAATTTGGTAAGGGGAGGTCAGTTGAATTATTCAGAAAATAATCGAAGTAAATAATGACAAATTAATGACGGCAACTCGGAAGAGGTCGTGGGTGAACCTGTGGCCTGTCGTACTAGAGATAGCATGGTGTGCAACTACACTTAACAGCTTCATTTGGATTCACCTGGTGCAGGTAACGTCTGAAACAACCTAAGCATTCCATCAACATCCTTCAGATCAGCCAGCATTTCAATGTTTATTGCACCAGCAACTCGACTGAAATATTTGGGACATAAACGTTTCTCATTCACATCATCTTTTCTTTGTAACAATCCACCCTTCACGATCAATGAATCTGTGTCACTTAACAGTCAAGATTAAAACCGCTTCTGTCACAGAATCATCCCTGTGCCAATGACTGGCCTATTTATGTTGTAACATGAGCCAAACATCGTTATAAGTAAACCTTGGGTGCTAATCAAATGGCCCTGAGGTTTAGATGCATCAGTCAGATCAACATTATGCTGATGCTAGACGCCAATGGTATCCATTGAATAGACAACATGGGAAATTATTCGCTCTGTTCAAAGTTTTGTTCTGGACCCTCAACCTCACCTAACCTAACCTAGTTCTATTGTATCACCACAGTCATGTCTTAGTCTGACTCACCTTGTCCTTCCCAACACTATGTATGGGGTGTACACGGCTGTCTGTTCTGTAGCAGCGGCCTGGATGTTGATCAGCATGGAGAGTGTGTCCATGTGGTCGCCACTGGAGGTGTCATCATGGTCATACACCTGCACCGTTATTTCTATCGAGGACTGGAGAAAACAACATGTATATTCTCTGCTTAGTTTGTTGTTTAACACGACAGACAGCAATATTCCAGCTATGCTAAAAAAATATGCTATTACTTAATGAGTGAGTGAGTTACGTTTAACGCTGCTTTTAACAGTATTCCAGTTATATCAGGGTGTGTCATCTTTATGTGGTAGGAAAGCGCTGAGTGATGCATGTCTTAGATGTTTACCACTTCGGTGACACCCAAGTGCACGGGTATGGTGCGGACAAACCTAGAAACATAACCAGGCGAACCGGGATTCGAACCCACAATCATAGGTTTCTGGCGTGCCCAAGGGAGGCAACTCTGCACAGCGAATAGCAGTGCCTTAGACGACTGGGCCACCCTTGCCCCCTTATCATTTACTTGATACATGTATTGTCTTTCTTCTAAATATGTACAATGACGCTTGCAGACATTGAGCCTAATCTATGACGTGGCATGGTGAGACCTGTGTCTGTTAGTTTCATTATCAACATTGACAGAACAGATACAGGTTCATATATGTGGCTTGAAGATTTACAATAAAATCTGACATGAGTGTATTTTAACACTGAGTGTAATTTAAGTTTAGGTGACACTCCTACCGGTACTGCTTTGGACACAGGTATGATGATAGGATTCGCTATTCCTAGAATGCTGTTTCCAAATTGGATCGTGTTATGGTTATCTATGTAGTTTGTGGTCCTCTTGTAAAGAGAGCACGGCGCTCTTCCATCTGGCCTGGAACAACATTATATTGTTGTCTGTCGCTGTCAAATCTACAGGTAACATAACTCTACATTAAAAACACGTCATTTTCCCCTCCTACATATTGTAAACCAAAGGCGTAAATTCACTATATTATTTTAATAAATAAAGTCAAATGCACTTAAGAATTGATTCATACAGTCTGCACATCGGTTTTTCGATTCATACCTCAATGAACAGACAAAATGCACAGTCAATGCGCAAATTAAATTCGACAACGAAAACATACACTAGTTTAACCAAAAACACTTGTTTATATCAAAGCAGACAAAAATGACGAGATTGATAAACATTCTAGGTGTAGGAATACATACTTTGACGTGACATGAATCAGATGATTGTGTAATTTATGCACATAACTTGACATGCCCACAAAGTCAGTAGCCAATCAACTGAGAGTAGGATCAAATTTTAAACAAAGTTCATAGGACCTGTCAATCAAGGCAAAAGGCGAGAAGAACTGCAACAGTCAGACTGTAACGAGCGGGAACAAATATGTCCGGGAGAATTAGGCGGCTGTTTTAAATGACATGGTCAGTTACCGCCACACAGTTGGAAAAATGCTAGTTAGAAATGCAACCCGAAGACATGAAAGTTGTGGAACCGATTCGAGCAGGGGAAAAAACAGGCGAGCGAGCCTGCACGTTTGCTGTTTCATTCCTTCTCGGCCTTCTGTCTCAAAGGGTTGTATGGACAATGAATATGCATGAATTCCGCTAAAAGCCCTGTGCATGGCGATACACGTAAGCAGAAAGGGAATTCCATCGACTGTAATATTGGGATTCCCCGACATTCCGTAGTAATAAAAGTAGCCAATGGGCGTGGCTTAACTGTTTACATTCATTTAAAAATGAATGCAATAACACGTGACCAATTCAGCTGACCAGAATGCAGGAATTTCAATGAACAAAAGAAAAAATTAATTATTCAAAAATAGCCCCAAAATTGATTCAAGTGCAGAAAAACGTGACAAACAAAGTCAAGGTGATTCTATTGCTAATAGTGAGTGAGTGAGTGAGTGAGTGAGTGAGTGAGTGAGTGAGTGAGTGAGTGAGTGAGTGAGTTGGGTTTCACGCCGCTTTTAACAGTATTCCAGTTATATCACGGCGTGTCAGCTTAATGTGGGAGGAAAGCCCGAAGTGATGCAGGTCTCAGACGTTTGCCGCTTCGGTGAAACCCATGAGCACGGGTATGGTGCTGACAAACCTAGAAACATAACCAGGGCGAACCAGGATTCGAATCCACAATCATATGTTTCTGGCGTGCCCAAGGGACGCCACTCTGCACAGCGAATCGCCGCGCCTTAGACGACTGGGCCACCCTTGCCCCCTTATTACTTAATCATTCACTTGTTACATGTATTGTCTTTCTTCTAAATATGTACAATGACGCTGGCATACATTGAGCCTAATCTATAATCGCGTCGCCCTCTCTATTACTAATACATGGTTGTACCTCAACATGAGCAAGGAAATACCTAAACTATTTTCGCAGAAGAATCAGAAAGACAACATTAAAATAACCTTTGTGTGATGTACTTAACCTGATGTATTAATGGCAACAGGGGTCCGGGTCATATTTTTACACGAGATACGATAGCCTACAAATAGAAAACTGTCCCTAAATGAACATGTCTCCCTCGTATAGTTTGCCAATAAATATATAAAAAAGTACCTACCCATCAATACAAAAGATAAGCATTGGCTCACATTTATCAATACACAAGGTACGAGCTTCACTGTCACAACTTTGTCATTCCAGGGTACTTACCCATCAATGCACAGGGTAAACCTTGGGTCACATTTATTATTGCACCAAGTGGTGAGATGATTGTCACAACAATCCCCGCTTATTTCTTTCCCATCTGACCAGTAACTGATGAACCGAATGTCCAGTTTGCCGTCAGTCTTCACATGCTGTTAAGGTATGAATATACGGTTCAGACATTTGTTAATTGAAGAAAGTAATATCATCTTGAATGTGATATAATAACGTTGACATGAAGAATGTCGAATGAAGTTCGAATTTCTTTCAGTTTCATTTGCCTCCAAAGAATTTTACTATTCAAAATGATTGTGTTCAATCCACATACATCGTAAATCGTGTATCTATTTTTGGTAACGCGTACCCGCCTATTCTTAAATATGTTAGATTGTTTACTGTTGGTCATGACACGTTTCCCTTTTGGACAATGTTGTGTTTATCCATACTATCATTTAGTCATACAAGACAAGTTTACGATGCAAATAAGTTTTGATAATGCAACCACGTACATAAGTGTTATATGTAATCTACTAAGTCTAGTTTTTAATGCTGTAGGAAATATTTCCATACCCATACATTTTTTATTCTCACAGGCACTATGTTTCATACGGTGTTACCTCATGACACTTCCGAACGAGCTCTTTCAAATGAACTGAGGTGATTTATTATATCAGCTTATATCTGTTAACTTGCTTGGTCAACAGGAGGCAAGGTGCCTAGAATGGCCCAAACGTTTAAGGCGGCACAATACGTTGTGTAACGTTACGTCCTCATGTCAAATTTTGGTGATCGTGGTTTCGAATCCAATACTCGCCATGATATGTACCCACTTTTGTCAGCACCATATCCGTGCCCATTGGTTTCATTTTAAGTGGTAAACGTCAGGTGCCTGCATCAATGTAGGTGTGTTTCCCACATCAAGCTGATAATCCTTAAAACAAATTCATGACAATGTATTGTTTACTAATCTTTTTGTGACTAATATTCATCGCCATCTCCATCTCGTCAGCAGGTAGGCCTAAAATACGGAGGCATTCAGCCACACATCAGGGTGATTCTATTGACAATCACATTGTAAAAACATGTTCATTCCCAGTAAATCTACCGAGGTATCGATTCTACAATGAACGATCTCAAACTTCTAAACACTGGAGGTCTATTTCCTGAGTCATTCACTCAATTGAGGATTATAAAATATTTTCCAGTTCGGTTTACAATTTGAAAAGTAAATATCTTGTTATTCGATCTAAAATATAAGTCCTAGTATTTGAAAGCCAGTGTCTTGGGAAGTGAATCATGATTCATTTGTCGTTAGATGACGATGCATGCACTTAGCTCAAGCATATACAGTGCAGGAAAACGCTATGGGACAGTACGAAGCTGTACGATCAAAATCGTTTATAGGGAGCAGCACAGGGATACGGTTGCGGCAGCTGTGGAAAGAGTGATTTAGTGAGTGGTGTTTCACTCTACTGTCAGTAACATTCCGGCTATATCACGGCGGCCTGGATGAGACAAACCAGTGATAGATAGCATGAGGGAAACGATCACACACTGATGACCAGTGTGATGTAGATTTTGATCAGTGACCTTTAAGGAAAACACTGTAGGACTGCCCGTAGCTCTGTGTCTAGAAATAACATTACCACCAATGATTGGTACCAACACTTTACAAATCTTTTGTCATCCCCCACCATTGAAGACCTGTCTGACGCAGAGCCTACAGTACCAGATAGATCCGCTCATATGATACAAACAAAAATGTTGCGGAGGATATTCTTGATTCTCCAAATAACGAGAGATGGGGTTTTAGACAGCATATATAACCTTAAAAGTAACAAGGTAGCTGGTATAGATGATACTATTCCTGAATTCTTTAAACATTCTTCAGATTTACTACTTCCATACTCAGAATTAATATTTAATTTGATATTAGAAAATGGACATTTTCCAAATTCATGGTCGATTGGTATTATCACCCCAATCCATAAACAAGGTGATATAAAAAACGTAAATAATTACAGAGGTATTACCCTTTTAAGCATGCTTTTCAGCATATTCAGTAAGATAGTTACATCTATCATTAACAGGAGATTAATCTTCTGGGGGTAATGCAATGGATAAAATAAGTGAAGCCCAAGCTGGATTTAGAGAAAAGGGTTATACAACTATTGATAATATGTTTATACTACAATCAATCGTACAAAAGTATCTAAGTACAAAAGGGGGAAAGTTCTATGCTCTATTCGTTGACTTTGCAACGACATAAGTTATGGTCACTTCTGTACTCCCATGGTCTAAGTTGTAAAATGAGCAAACTTCTATGTAATATTTATGAAAATGTAAAAGTATGTGACAGAAATAACCGGGAATTGACGGAAATGTTTGATAGTGAACTTGGAGTGAGACAAGGCTGCATTCTAAGTCCTTTTTTGTTCTCATTTTTTATTAATGAATTAGCAACACAAATTGCAGATAAGTGTACAAATGGAATTCAACTACATCCTAACATGACGCAATTATTTTTACTATTATTTGCGGGCGATATTATATTATTCTCATGTAGTGTTGGCGGCTTACAGACACAAATTAAAGAATTAGAAAAATACTGTGATCAATGGAAATTAACTGTAAACAAAGATTAAACGAAGATCATTGTTTTTAAAAATGGTGGGAAACTTGCTCAAAAGGAAAATGGTTTTGCAAAGGGGAACGTCTAGAAACTACCTCTTTCTAAAAGTATTTAGGTGTATACTTTACAAATCATCTTAGTTGGTCTATGCATGCAAAGCAAGCATCGATGCAAGCTCAAAGGGTATTAATTGATGTGTTAAAACAAATCTTTAATCTTGGAAATATTACTTACAAGTTGTTCTTCAAGATATTTGATTTAAAGAGAAGTCCGATAAAACTATATGGAGCAGAGATATGGGGACTTATTGAGCTTGAACAGATAGAAAAAGTACATTTATATGCCTGCAAGAAATTTCTTGGTGTTAAAGTTAATACATTAAGTGTTATGGTATATGGTGATTGTGGCAGATTTCCAATGAATATATGTTCATATCTAAAGGTTATCAAGTAGTGGTTAAGATTACTCAATATGCCAATTTATAGGTTCCCGAAAAAATGTTATAATATGATGGTACTCTTTGATAAAAATGGAAAACGAAATTGGGTAACAGACGTAAAAGACTTGCTGTTTTCTATTGGTTATGGCTATGTATGGTGTGAATAAAATATACAATGTCATTCTTATTTCATTAGATCATAAACACAAAGACTAAAAGATATATATTTACAAAATGGTAAAAAATTATTTATTTCCCGAACAGTATTTATCTTGTTTAAATGTAAAAAAAATCCGAGTTTCCTTAGCAAGAGTTCGATGTTGTTCATGTGATTTATTTATTGAAACTTGACGTTACACGGGTATTAAAAGAGAAGAACGCATTTGTCAATTGTTCGCCCTGAATGACATTGAAGATGAATACCACTTCCTTCTTATATGCCTATATAATGCAACATTAACGGCTAAGTATATACCTGAATATTACCATGTCAATCCCATTATCTTTAAATTCACATCTCTGTTAAACAATTCCAAGTACTTACTTTTACAAAATGTATCTATGTACAATTACCATGCAATGACACACAGAAAAAATATTATGTTATAGACTCTACTGCTCTGAATGTACAACTCATAAATGTACTGTAGGCCTGTGACCTCCTCAGTACGGAAATAGAGAAATTGAGAAAGAGGACGCTTTATCGGTTTAAAGTTAAACCTTGTTTACTCGAACCCGATTATCTCGTTTAAGAAGGTGTCACTTCTGGTCACCTAAACGTTTTATATCGGCACTCAGCTTGTCTCGAAAAACGGATAAATCGACGTACAAGAACTTCGAGCTAAGGCAGTTCACTGCTTCGAAGATTGGAAAAAAATCGTACAAGAACACCGTTTGGTGAATAGCTATCTTGTTTATATTTCAAACTGCATGTAGGTGAATTATATACATTAAAACGAATTTGAGTATGACTTAAACGTTTAAGGTCTTACCGATATCAGCAGCAGCCAGAGCGCAAAAACCACACCCAAACAGTGTGTCGGCCAACATCTCCAAGTAGACATCATATCCATAAGTCGTCATCAGAGCTGTTCTGGATGGAGGGTTGTCTCACATGTACCGTTCACTGTTGTTCAGTCCACTGATATTTATATCTTAACCCCAAGAGATTACCGGAGACTACAGACGTCCAGGCGCATATCCGTTGTGACTTATATTACACGTAACTAAATCATTACTTAAATTGCACGAGGGTGAATGCGAGTCTGTGTTTAATATTTCCTCGGTGATCTGTGTCATCGAACTTGAGGAAATATTTGTGGTAAATATTCAGTTTCATTATTCACACCAGTCTCGACTACCTCACCAGTGTCGGAAGTACCGTGCAACCTCTACTAGTCCTTGTTACTTCTCCAGTTCATTCAAATTCATGATAAGTCCATTTTGGCAAGTGCAGTAATACCATGTTGAACAAGTGTTACTACTAATCCCTGGGAACATAACATTTCATGTTCTGGTAGCGTTTTGCTGTTTACTGCAGTCACTAAACAAAGACTGTGTCCTCACTGCGAGGTGTTATTAAATTCATGACGCCCGAAGGTGGGAGTGATGATTTTACTACATCTAACTGAATTGTATTTGGACAATACAGTTGTGAAAGTAAAATTGTAACATAACATTTAAGAGAGTATTTAAGAGTGTATACTCTTTAACGTGGCCAAACATTGACATAATGAAACGAGTAGCGAAACCTAATACATATTTATAATGTAACAGAGCAACACAAAAAATAGAAACTTATTTGAATACATTTGGCCGGGTGCACATAAACAACTTGCGGGAAACAGTTTACACATTACACTGGATTAGCATACTACAACAGAAGAAGCATTCAGCCGAGAGGCCTTAAGACAAGTGAAACTGTTATAAGGCATTCACAGTGCTGTTTGGGTATCGAGTTATATTCTCTTAAGGAAAACAAATATTGAAGCTCTAAAGTAACTGTGATCAAATTCGCATGTATCACATCGGGATTCATGGAAGCACGTGATTCAAATTCATAGATATTAAAAAATATATAAAGATTTTGATGAGGTTACCTTGCCGGGGTAAGCGTTTCATCCTTGGCATCACTTTGTCAGGCTTCATCCCTGACATCACTTTGTCAGGCTTCATCCGTAGCATCACTTTCTCAAGCTTCATCCATGGCATCACTTTGTCAGGCTTCATCCGTGACATCACTTAGTCAGGCTTCATCCGTGGCATCACTTTGTCAGGCTTCATCCCTGGCATCACTTAGTCAGGCTTCATCCGTAGCATCACTTTCTCAAGCTTCATCCATGGCATCACTTTGTCAGGCTTCATCCGTGACATCACTTAGTCAGGCTTCATCCATGGCATCACTTTGTCAGGCTTCATCCGTGGCATCCCCTTGTCAGGCTTCATCCCTGGCATCCCCTTGTCACGCTTCATCCTTGACATCACTTTGTCAGGCTTCATCCGTAGCATCACTTTGTCAGGCTTCATCCCTGGCATTACTTTGTCAGGCTTCATCCCTGGCATCCCCTTGTCAGGCTTCATCCGTGGCATCACTTTGTCAGGCTTCATCCCTGGCATCCCCTTGTCAGGCTTCATCCGTGGCATCACTTTGTCAGGCTTCATCCCTGGCATCCCCTTGTCAGGCTTCATCCCTGGCATCCCCTTGTCAGGCTTCATCCGTGGCATCACTTTGTCAGGCTTCATCCCTGGCATCCCCTTGTCAGGCTTCATCCTTGACATCACTTTGTCAGGCTTCATCCGTAGCATCACTTTGTCAGGCTTCATCCCTGGCATTACTTTGTCAGGCTTCATCCCTGGCATCCCCTTGTCAGGCTTCATCCCTGGCATCCCCTTGTCAGGCTTCATCCCTGGCATCCCCTTGTCAGGCTTCATCCCTGGCATCCCCTTGTCAGGCTTCATCCCTGGCATCACTTAGTCAGGCTTCATCCCTGGCATCCCCTTGTCAGTGCTCGGAGTAAGGCAACCAGACAGTCTACTCTAGCGTTCACGAGTGACGTTAACTCAAACAACAGCGATTCTGACCAATACGAGGATGACAGCACCGATGTAATGAAACTTATAAGATCGGACATTGGTAAACTTAATAGAAACTTAATAGAAAGTTTGATACAGTCAGAAATGATATTAAAGATGAATTTTCGAAGTTGAGGTCGGAAAACATCGAACTTAAAGAAAGATTATCTAAACTAGAAAATCTTGTTGATAGTGAAGAGGCCGAGAGCAGAAGGAACAATCTTATTATTCACGGCATAGAGGTCGTAATTTGAGAAAAGTGGGCGGAGACTGAGAAACTAGTGAGGGATTTTCTACACGATAACCTTGGTATGATCAATGCTGACACTATCGATATCGAGCGAGCTCATCGTCTAAGAAGTCAAGGAAGACAGAAGCCCATTATTGTGAAGTTCCTGTCCTACAAGGACAAGGTAAGCATCACTGAACTTGCCAGAGAGATACTTAAAGGACACAAGATGTTACATGTAGCGAACGATTATACGGTCAGAGTCAGAAAGATAAAAGCGGGGCTTATCCCTTATGTGGTGGATGCACGTAAACATACTAAGACTGCTTACCTCTCCTATGAGAAGCTAGTGATAAACGGCGAAGTCTATGTCCTTGAAAATGATGACCTCAGAAAGATCAGTAATCGACTCACTGCCACCAACCGGGGGTCACCGAGTCGCAATCGTGGGGCACATGGAGGGACGCCTCTTGGGCTCAGGAGGAGCGGCGGCGGGGGTACTGATGGGGAGTCTGTTACAGCCTAGGAAGACGGCCGTGGCCCAGATTCAAAGACCGATACATATCTACCTGTACGGGACACGACACCATCTACACTGCCCAATCTTAATGCGTGTGTTTGGAACATACAAGGAATACATTGACATCCCCAAGACAACGCCTTCGTGACATTTTGTGAACAATTTGATATTTTCGGCTATGTCGAAACTATACAGAGTGACACAAATAAGCTTGTAAACTTATTTCCTGATTAGAAAACGGCAGTTTGGTCGGTTTTCCGGTGGTGTTGCTGTTTATATACGCACAACATTTGAACATTTGTTTGAGAGACTATTCCCAGAATGGCAAAATAGTGTATTTTTAACGCTAAGGAAAATTTCATCATTGGGTTTCTATACATACTCCCTGAAATCCCCGTTATACGAGGACCCTGAGACTGATGTGAAGAGTTGGACTTAAAAATATCAGCTATTATATCACGCTATGGTTGTGATACACCTATCCCATTATTACGGGATCGTAATGCCAGAGTTGGGTCGAAAGACGATTTTTTGATTGAAGATGATAACGACTTTAATTACCTACCACTAACAGATTTGTATATAGCTGATGACTTTAACGAGACAAGATCAACGGAAGAACCTGTAGTGAATATGTATGGGTTAGCTCTATTGGAAGTATGCAAGTTGTGGGGAATACACATTGTAAATGGTAGGAGAAAAGGTGATGAATTTGGTTCAGGCACGTGTATAACAAGTAACGGATCAACCTAGTTAATTATGTACCAGCAACTACTAACTGTTTTCAATCTGTTATATATATCGTTGTTCATTCCAGGACGGACTCGGACCATCTTCCAGTATCTTGTATCTTACAAGTTAAATTAAATTCAAGTGATGTTAATGTCGCAAACGATGGCGGTGTAATATGTGACGATGTGTTGAAATATAAATGGGCAGATTTAGGACGTAGACAATTTAATGAAGTTGAAATACCTGAAATCTCGAGTACCATTGTGAACCATTTTCTGCTATTAGTACATTTCAATGTCAATGCTGCCACTGAGAAGCTAGTGGAGCTCCTGCAACATGTGGGGAATCATCGTAAAGTTAACTGTAACAGTCGACAGGGTTTAAAACGTGTACAACCTAAATTGTTTGACCATGAATGTTAGCTCGCAAAAAGAACCAAATATTGTCGTCAGGTTTCGGAGATGTGGAACAAATGATAATTTGACAAGGTATATTCAGTCTAAGAGACACTTCCGCCTTTTGTGCAAAGAGACGTGCCAACATTTCAACAATACGATCGCGGACGAAATTCGTACAGCAGTTGCAGATGGCGATTGTAAGAAGTTTTGGTTTAAAACAAAAGCACTACTGCAGAACCGTAATGAGTGGTTTATTTATTTTAAAGATTTACTAAACCTGACTCGTTGTAACAGCAGTGATGGATTTGATGCAACTGTCAATGATTATATGACACATCACGATGATGAATGTACTTATTGTAGCAGTATGGATAATCTGTCAGAACGTATTATCAGAGAGGTCATTGAGAAATCAATCAAGTCACTTAAAATGGGCAAATCTCCGGGTATTAATGCTATACCACCCGAATTCTTTAAACACGCTAATTCAATTTTACCATGTTTCGAAATATTATTCAATGCTATATTGGATAGCGGTGTTTTCCCGATAGTTGGAATGTCGGCATGATTATCGCATTGTATAAAAAAGGGGATGTTTATGATCCAAATAATTACCGTGGTTTTTCTTTGCTAAATGTAATGGGTAAAATATTCATATCTATCCTTGAATCCAGAATATGAATATGGCTACAGGTACATGAAATATTACATGAATGTCAAGCAGGTTTTTGACATGACTATTCTACAATTGATAATGTATTTGTCCTACAATGTTTATGTCAAAAGTATTTGAGAAAACCAAAACACAGATTCTGTGCAGCTTTCATAGATTTTCGTAAAGCATTTGACTTTGTTGACAGTGAGAGTGAGTGAGTGAGTTGGGTTTAACGCCGATTTTAACAGTATTCCAGTTATATCGCGGCGTGTCAGCTTAATGGGAGGAAGGCCCGAAGTGATGCAGGTCTTAGACGTTTACCACTTCGGTGAAACCCACGAGCACGGGTATGGTGCTGACAAACCTAGAAACATAATCGGGGTGAACCGGGATTCGAACCCACAATCATAGGTTTCTGGCGTGCCCAAGGGACGCAACTCTGCACAGCGAACCGCGGCGCCTTAGACGACTGGGCCACCCGTGTCCCCTTGTTGACAGAAATAAGCGATTGTATGTACTTCTTATAAAAGATGTACATGGGAAAATGTTTAGAATTCTAAAAGTTATGTTTGACAAGGTCTCAGCTTGTGTTAGAATCGGACATTCGAAAACTGAAATATTTACATCATCATATTTACAATACTGTAACCTTCAGTAGCTTAGTGACGCAAGACTTTCATACAAGAAGCCGCCTACATCGTTTAAAATTTAATACAAAACCAAAAATACACAATCTGCATAACATAAAATCACACCTGGTGAACATGCCATCTTAATGAACAAAGTACATTATTGCGCCTGTCTATAATCATATATGTGTACAGGTATTAGACAATAATACAATAATTTAGATATTTGATATTTTTCCACTGTTCATAGTGTGTAGATGGCGGTAACTAGGTGAGAATCACTGAAATGTCATGTGTAAGGTACGGTCCGAACCCCAGCTGCCGAATAGAATTAAGAGCGAGTGAGTATGGTTTTACGCCGCTTTTAGCAATATTCCAGCAATATCACGGCGGGAGACACCAGAAATGGGCTTCACACATTGTACCCATGTCGGGAATCGAACCCGGGTCTTCGGCGTGACAAGCGAACGCTTTAACCACTAGGCTACCCGACCGCCCCGAATAGAATTGAGAACAGGTAATGAGAAGATAACACCCTTGGATGTTGTGACATCCTGGCAATGAAATATGTTCCTCTTGGAGAACAGTGACGCCACAGGATGTTTTTTTAAGAATACACACAAGGCACTTTAGCTCAAGTAATACAGAAAGATTGGAGGTCTATACTCTTGAAACCAAACCAAACAAGCGTTTAAACTGCAGCCCAGTTCACACAACGTAAGCAAAAAAAACTGATTTCACATTTCTAAAAAAAATACAGAAAGGTTTGTCAACAAGGTACGAGATATATTTTTTAGTTTCAGTTGAAATTTCTGATATTCCTTAATTGCAAAAGGCACCAGTTCAACATCTGCCTTTTGTACACACAAAGTTGTGTGAATCATATTGAATCGTTTATGAGTTTCGTTCCGATCGTGAACCCAACCTATATTTGAAAGAAGTCCATTTGGGGGGAAACGAAATGTCAAAACATTAAAAATACAATAAAATGCACCAGTTCAGCACTTATCTGATTTTTATCAAAAGTTTCACATATAATTAAGCGTTGGACAAAAGTTCAGAAGAGTTATCTTCTCAGTATGTCTTCAATGGTCCCTGCAGCGTACCTAAACATTCTTGCAAGACGTAACTGCAAGCAAAAAAATCTCCCTCTGATTATCGTGATGAAACTGCTTATATACATACTGGAATAGACTCCATATACACAACACATCTGACCATAAACCAAAAGATTAAAACACACAATTATACACAAATTGACAATGCACGTATTTTCAATTCAAAGACCCATAAACCCCACAGACCAATTTTTTCCTCACCAAAGACGCCAAGGCTGTACAATGAGCAAGATTGTGGCCCAGCAGGGGACCACGGTAAGAACAGTCAACAGCTCTCTGTCTGGCGGGTTGTCAGTCTCGATGATGTAGTTGATTGCGTGTCATCCTTCCCTGAAGAAGAGGGACGTTGCTCATCCGATCAACCATCAGAACGATTATGCAACTACAGTCTGTGATGTTTACAAATGTGTGATGTCTCATTTGTTTAAATATCGATTGTTTGGGGGAATATTACCTTAATTCAAGGAAGTAGAAACATTTTACAATTATTTACAATGTGTGTATGAACGACCATTATCAGTGAGTGAGTATGGTTTTACGCCGCTTTAAGCAATATTCCAGCAATATCACGGCGGGGGCCACCAGAAATGGGCTTCACACATTGTACCCATGTCGGGAATCGAACCCGGGTCTTCGGCGTCACGAGCGAACGCTTTAACCACTAGGCTACCCGACCGCCCCCATTATCAGTTATTCCTTGTCGGGGTAATCGCCGCATCAACGCTTGTTGGTAAGTGGATATTTTGGTAGTTGACAGATATTGTGATGTTCGGCTTTTATTATTGAGGTATCGTAATAATATCAATAATATTAAGGGAGATTATGTTTGATGACAATCCTTAGTTTTCAATACCCAGATGATGTCGATAATGATTCGACAAACTATTCAAACCACTTAAACAATTACCAACAAATATTTTATATAATTGTTTTATATTATTTAAGATATTACCAACATCACCCTCCGTGGAGTGATTGATCATAACAGAGGCAATCTGACTAGTGACGAGAGTCATCAACGATCTGGGAGAAATCCAGGGACGAGTGAATGTCGAAGTCTCAACAAGCATCTGCAGTAGAAGCATGTATCCTCTACCAAAGCTACTTCACATTGTTCCATAATGACATCTCTACAAACGTAATATCAGTGGTTCACAACATCCAAATGTGTTAGGTTTCAATGCTAGACGTACATCATAATGATGTAAGTAGTTGTGTGCAGGACTCTGGAAACGCTCCTGGCTTCTGATTGGTCGGTTTCTGTGATGACGTCACTTCCGCATCAGAGGTAATCTTCTGTGACCAAACCGAAACCGGAAGTGACGTCATCACAGAAACCGACCAATCAGAAGCCAGTAGCGGTTCCAGAGTCCTGCACACAACTACTGATGTAACTATATTTGGACAAACATCATT